TGTTTTTACTGGGTCTGGCTGGGATGGAGTTAACTTTCTTCACAGCAATCCCTATGGTGCTGTGTTTTGGATCTGTGACTGAAACAGCCTTGATAACACACCAATGTTTTGGCTATTGCCAAGCAGTGCTTGCACAGCACCAAGGCCTTCTCTGTTTCTCACTCTGCTCCCTTCTGCCACCCTCAGAGAGTAGGCTGGAAGTGGGCAAAAGGTTGGGAGGAGACACAGCTGCGACAGCTGACCCCAATCGGCCAAAGGGATATTCCATGCCATATAATGTCATGCTCATAAAAAACTGGGGAGTGTTTGTTTGTCTTCCAAGGTAGCCATTGTTTGGAGACTGGCTGGGCATTGGTCTGCTTTTGGGAGATGGTGAGTGATTGCATTTGCATCACTTGGTTTTTTTTCCCTTTCCTTCAATTATTAAACTGTCTTTATCTCAACTCATGAGTTCTCTTGCTTTTGCTCTTCCTATTTTCTCCACCATCCTGCTGGGGGGCGGGGGGAGACGGCAAGGAGCTGTATGGTTGCTGGCTGGGGTCAACCCACAACAGTCCTTTTTGGCTCCTGAACAGGCACTCAAAAAGGTTCGAGATAATGACAGACTTGATCAGAGTGTGCTAGACTGAATACAGCTGTTATACCTGCTTAGCTCTTACTTGGCAGGCTGTTACTTCGTGTTGCCGGTCATGATGTTGACTTGCTTGTTCTTGATACTGATTTGTTTTTTCCCTCAGTTGCTCTGCTGCTTGCTCCCTTTCTTCCTGCACATCAAACTCAAGAGCTTGTTACTGGCTGTTTTCAGCTTTTGCTGTTTGCCGTGTTGCTTATCACTTTCTTTTGCTTTGCCTGGGAGAGCCATGATAAAACATTGGCCTTGAGCCTAATCTGGTATTTGGCCCCTGCACTGCTGCCATCCCAGTACTCCAGGAACCATCTCGTGGAGACAATTAGCAATTATACCTTTCTCCTCTTCTCCAGGAGCCACTTTGTGGAGGAAATGAAGAACGGCAACTTCCTCTTCTCCAGGACAGGGGTTTCCACCCTTGTTGCAATGGCCCTTCACTTTCTTGAACACTGCTATTTAACCAGAAGGGTGTATTGGTGAATGCAGTGAAGCTGATTTTGGCTTTTCATAAGGTTAACCAACCAGTTGGGAATGCCACACAGGAATGTGCCCTGAGGCAACCAATTCCTGGTGGCAAGGTGTGTGGGAGAGTTTGGGCAGGTGCCTATAGCAGTTTTCACCTCCGATGGTCTGGGACTTCACTCCTGAATAGACATGGAATCCTGTTGAATTGGCAGACCACTTGAAGGAAGGATGCCTTGTATATACCATAAAGACCCAACTCCCAGCACTGTATTGGGCCTATGCCTATGCTCAAAGGAGCGAGAGGGTCTCTGGATCTGAGGACACACAAACAGACACTGTGAGCGTCTCTGGATCTGAGGACATAAAAGTGGATACTGTGAGGGTCTTTGGATCTGAGGACATACAAACAGTCTGGTTAAATCAGACACCCAACTCTCAACTACAACAGTTGTTTCTGCAGTCAAGAAGAAACAATGGAAATATCCGTCAACCCAGTTAGTAAAGGAGAAAAAAGCTCCTCCTGAGGGGGAGCAGGAGGAAGAGATCAGGGACTGGCCAGAAGGCAGACATTTTGAAGCATCGCCCAAGGAGGTGACTCATGCCAGAGAGGCCCCACTGTATAATAAATTACCAGAAAATGAAAAACAATATGCTCTATTTACCAATGCATCCTGTCATATTGTGGGAAAACATCGGAAGTGGAAAGCTGCTGTGTGGAGTCCCACAAGACAAGTCACAGAAACTGTCACAGGCAAAGGCAAATCGAGTCAATTTGCAGAAGTGCAAGCCATCCAGCTGGCCCTAGACATTGCCGAAAGAGAAAAGTGGCCAGTACTCTATCTCTACACTGACTCATGGATGGCAGCAAATGCCCTGTGGGGGTGGCTACAGCAACAGAAGCTGACTAACTAGCAGCAGAGGTAAGCCCATTTGGGCTGCTGCATTGTGGCAAGACATTGCTGCCTGGGTAGAGCACCTCATTGTAAAAGTACGTTACATAGATACTCACATGCCCAAGAACCGTGCCACCGAAGAACATGGAAGCAAGGAGCAGACAGACCAGGCTGCCAGAACTGAAATTGCTAAGGTGGAATTGGACTGGGAACATAAGGGCGAGCTATTCATAGCTCAGTGGGCCCATGACACATCAGGACACCTAGGAAGAGATGAAATGTATAGATGGGCTCATGGTCGAGGGGTAGACCTGACCATTGAAGCCATTGAACAGGTTATCCATGAATGCGAAACATGCACCGTGATCAAACAAGTCACGTGGGTAAAGCCTCTCTGCTGTGGAGAACAGTGGCTGGGAAAGACAGTGTGGGTTGCTCCTCCCTCAGGAAAAGGCAAACCCATTTGTGGGGTTCCTTTTGCTCAAGGGCCAGGGTGCACTTGGTGGGTAATGCAGGAGGATGGTGAAACCCAGTGTGTACCGCAAAGAGATTTAACCTTCTACTAACACAGAAAAACCAGTATGGCTATGAACATGACATGGAGTCATGGCTTGTACACCATATCCGTGTCAACCTCTATTGCAATAACATGAACAAAATAAAAAGTGTACCTATTTTGCTTTGTCTTGTCTAGCCCTCATACATTTAGAAGAACAGCAATGGATCTGACCAGTTTGTACTGTAAGTCAGTCTGTATTGTCAGTGACAATCTATTAGCCAGAACGACTACATAGGCAGTTTCCTGGTGAGACTGTAGAACCGGCAGGCAGAAAAACAGACAGTGTTTGTTAATAGAGCAAATTGGATTAGAAATTGCCTGGACACAAATCAGGAATGATAAGCCACAATTTTCACTAACTCAGCTAACAGAAAACTCAGTGGGTATTTTTTCAGTTTAAGTTATTTAATAGTGATTTTTTTTTAAATTTATGTCAAGATAAACATATGAAAACACTCACTGAAATGACAAAGAGTGATAAGTTGTGCAATGTCTGCTGACTTCATCTAAACGTGATATTTTAACCCCCTTTCCAGCACTGATCTCCTTTGCCTTCTGCCTAATGTTTTGCCTCCACTCTATTACCTACACACTTCATTAACTAATGCAGTAGGCTAACTGATGAATGTTGGAGATCCTGCACATACTCCTTCCTTCGTCCTAGAAAACAGTTTCTTGCAAAGCATGTTTGCTCTTTAAAGATGTTCATGCAGACAGTGAAGTCTAGTAATAGGATTAACTCTGCTCAACCAAAACAGCTATCAGCTGAGCAGACAGATTAACAAGATCATCTCGCATGTTGCATGACAACTTCTTCCTTGCTAATTCCAAACAGCAATTTCTAAGACGAGGTTAAAACATGCTATAAAGACAAGCTGAAAGGGTAAGAAACAACAGCTTAAAACATTGTATTTCCCAGGCAAACTAAAATCACACAGAACAATGTAAATGTTGTTATTTGTAAGTGAGGGGGCTGCTCCATAAGCGAGGGTCAAAATCCCTTCCATGTCCCAGATACATTTCTTTAACTGACATTTCTTATCTCGAAGTAGGAAGATATGCGTCATACTGCTGAGGTAAACAAGTAAGGCCAACACAAAACATATGGGAGGGATGTTAAATACCTCGCCTCAAGAAGCCAGTTAGCTGCTGCATCATACCCAATCTATTTGTTGCAGAGGATCCTAAATCACTTCTTATATGCTTCCTACATCAAGCTAACAATTGCACTGCAGTCGACAGGTTCTCAGCAGATCTGAACAATCCACCAGCCAGAAGCAGCTTAGTTACAGCACCATTGAGTCTGGCAGGGACTAAGTTAGAACCAGCTTGGATGTACCTCCACCACATTGTAGTCAGAAACCCACACAATACCCACATTTACTCTGGTCCAGCTATTATAACCACAGAGACCCTCTTCCCCATTTCATTCTCCTACTGAATTCACAGACAAACCTTACCCAATCGCTTCCTGATGCAGCCAGGGTGGCTCATCAAACCTCCCTTTCTCCCATCAGCTAGTCTAACAGATACCTCAAACCTGCCTCCTAAAGGATGTACAAGTCACACGGTTGAAGTATGAAAAGATACAGCAAGACAAAGAGGGCCCAACTGTGGTCTTTTTACAACATTTTGTTCAAAGGGAGTAAAAGTTCGGGGAAGATTCTCCCAGACTGCAACAGTGCCCAAGACTCAGAGCTGCAGCGTACCATGCTGGCTAAGCAGGAGAGTAAAACATTCATATGGTGCCATTCTTAACATATCAAAGGCTACCGCTTCAGCTTGCTCTAGCGGATGGAGAAGTTATTGCAGCTTACACCATCAGAGAAACCAGTCCATCTGTTGTCAGATTCACAGGCTCTCATGCTTAGCAGTCTTTCAGCAGAGGAAGACAAGTCTCAAGCTGCTTTGCTTTAGGGAAAAATAAAACTGTTCTACAATTCAAACAGCAAATAGTTTTCATTTATCCTAGTGCCTCTGATTGCATAAGGGCTCTCTGAGCATAAATGAAATTTACATTATGACAGCAGCAAAGAAGGAGCTTAGTTACAATGACAATATAACTCAATCTAGCCAATGTTCTCATTTACTGTGCCGAAGATGTCATTCTGAATTTTTATGCTTGGACCAGACCCAAGTAGCAAGAAGACCACAAATCCCCAGCTTGTAGGGGGGTTTCACAAGGGACTTTACCATCAACAGGTTGTACATGAAGCATGTGACATTACAAATTCTTACATTCGTGGAGGAAATCCACCGGCTGAAGACAACTTTAGGATTTACAGATGAATGATCTGAATTTTCACTGTATGATCATCACCTGCTCCTGTCGCCCCAAACTACCACCATTAATTCAGATACTACTAGAGAAAGCTCAACAGCAAGTCCCAGCTTTTTAAATGGCCAACAGGGTATACTAATATATCGTCCATTGACAACCATAACAGCTACTTACTCCACAGTACCGATCATCACTGAATATCTGTGGTGGCAGTGGATTGCCCTGCGCGGGCTGCCTGTCCTCAGGAATATTTTTATACATCCATTGTCTTTTCTCCTCTGACATTGTGATATCCACTTCTTCAAACTCTATGCGATTGGCTTCAAGAAACCTCACCACATCTTGTTGCCTCTTCTTTATCTAGATGAAAGAAAGAAAAAAAAAACAATACTCAGAGCAAGTCCACCATAACCCAGACATGCTTACAAACCTGAGAACATTCCTCCTCTCCCATCCCGCTTTCATGGGATGGGAAGTCACAAACTCAGGAAGACAAAGGAGAAATTTTTTTTTTTTAGTTTTAACTTCATAAAAGTTAAACACTGTTGTTTCTTCACAAGTTGGCAAAGGTTATACTTTCTCACCTCATTAATAGAAGGCTGTCTCTTTAGTTCAACTATGGGAATTTCAGCCCTTACTCTCTAAAGATGCTTTAAAAAAAATAATCTGTATGGGACTCTTCAGAAGTAGGAGTTAAAAGAGGTAGCTTGTTTTCAAAGTCATTAGGGCCTATATTTTTTAAGTATACAGGCTCCTAGAAATGCAAGGTAAGCAACCTGGCAAGCCCCAGAAGAATCTACTCCGATAAGTGTTCATTGAGATAAACATGTTGGTACGTCTAAAAAAAAACCACCCCAGCTACACACATTTTTGTTTTCCTAGACACTTACATATCTTTTAAAAATGCAGCTTGATGGTTCCCTGAACAAGGCTTGCTGAATCTTTAATTAAGAGTGTCTGTCTGCATAATACTCATGCCTAAAAATAAGCATGATCTCATCTCTTGAAAATTAACTTCATTGCAAAAAAAATGCATGAGGTTTGTACTAAATGTATGGGGTTTCTGCCCCTCAAGTTGATTATCATCTTTACACAAAAGCCTAACAGAGGCAGAACACTGGCAGTTTTTAGCTCATTGTAGCTAACAAAGATCAATCCTTAACAGCTAGCTGGGCTTCAAGCAGATACACTCAGGTGAAGACTACTTCTGCCTCAAATAGGACTTTATATCAAGAATAGCAACCGCTGAAATGAAAGTCTGTAGGGCCAAGGAAAGCTACTGGGGCTCATTCAGCCAGGTGTGCTCTGCATTCTCTTCAGTCCATACTGTACTTTTTGCATCTACTTAATGAAATTAATTCTTTCAGAAAGGAACTATAAATCTCCAACAGTGTTATTTAAAGAAAAAAAAAATACAGCTTTAATAATTTTACAATATTCCTGGAGTGTCAGATCCACGCAGTTGCTGACTGGCAAAAAGCCCAGGTGGATGAATCATGCCTGTGGGTATCATATGACCTAGATACTATTTGGAAATCAGAGGATTTTTAAAGTGCATGTGCTAGTTGTTCTTGTCACACAACCCATTCTGTCAACCTAAATGCACCACAAAAATACATGACTTTTGGAGGTAATGCTGATGGAATCACTGTTGCCTTGAAATAAGAGGTTAGCCGTCCCAAGAAACTGCAAAGACAAAGCTTTTAAATGATTACTGTCTTTCTTAAGAAGTGGGCTGCATAGTAAGATTGTGTCTCAGTGTCTCACTCTTTTTCCTTTTCTTACATATACTGGTGGGTTTTTTTCGGCATATGTGAAACGATCACTTTTTCATACAGAAGGCAGATCCTAAAATTGTGTGCAAATAATGCATTATCAACAACAGCAAAATTACTGCATCATCATCACTACTGGTACCAAAGACAACACGCCTTTCACTGTCTCCCTAAAAATTGCAAAGATTGTCTGACTGACTGACAATCTCTGTCAATGTAGAATTGAAAGACGAAAATATTTTCCTCTGTCTTTCACCAAAAAAAGCTGCAAGACAGGCCCAAAAGAGACAGAGACTGAGATTTTCTTAACACAAATATTAAGTATTTGTTCAACCAGAAATGAGACATCTAAAATGATGTGTGGGAGACGCCATTTCCTTCTGGTGGAGTACTGCTAAAATCAACATGAATTCCCTCCTGCACTGGTCAGAGCAACTAGCAAACCACATAGTGCCTGGGCCAGCCCTCTGGCCCTGAGGCCAAATGTGCTGGTTTTGGCTGGGATAGAGTTAATTTTCTTCATAGTAGCTAGTACTGGGCTATGTTCTGGATTTGTGCTGAAAACAGAGTTGATAACACAGAGATGTTTTTGTTATTGCTGAGCAGTGCTTACACAGAGTCAAGGTCTTTTCTGCTTCTCACGCCACCCCACCAGCGAGTAGGCTCGGGGTGCACAAGAAGTTGGGAAGGGACACAGCCGGGACAGCTGACCCCAACTGGCCAAAGAGATATTCCATACCATATGACATCATGCTCAGCATATAAAGCTGGGGGAAGAAGGAGGAAGGGGGGGACGTTCCAAGTGAGAGCGTTTTGTCTTCCCAAGTAACAGTTATGCGCGATGGAGCCCTGCTTTCCTGGAGATGGCTGAACACCTGCCTGCTGATAGGAAGTAGTGAATGCATTCCTTGTTTTGTTTGCTTGCAAGTGTGGCTTTTGCTTTACCTACTAAACTGTCTTTATCTCAACCCACGAGTTTTCTCACTGTTACTCTTCTGATTCTCCCCCCCATCCCACTGGGGGTGACTAAGCGAGTGGCTGTGTGGGGCTTAGTTGCTGGCTGGGGTTAAACCACGACATCTGTTAAACCTGCACCCTCTCAGAGTGGCTGCATGCAAACTGTACATTGGGAATGATCCCTGTAACATCTAAATCATGGCCACGAACTGTTTGTGAGACTGTACGTAAGCCTTGGCCAAAGCTGTCCATGCTGGCAACCATTCCTCTAACAGTTTCACAGCACCAGAATACCAGAGAGCTCCATTGCTGCGGCCCAGGCTACATACCAGAACACATGTATCTACATTGTATGTACCGTTTTCATCTGCTGTCTTCCAGTAGTCTGTACACCAGGCACAAGTTTAACTGCAACTCAGATTTAATCAGATCCCTAATATTTTACTGTTCACACCATGAGAATTCTCCCACAGACCCACATTTCCTAATCTCTCCTTTTTATTTTTATAAAACTAATTAAGATGTTGAAGTGAAATAAATTGTGGGGTGTTTTTTTTAGCCAGAAGCCTTGCAATTCTCCACATGACATCTGCATGAGTTATCAGCTGTGGATGTGCCAGCTGCATAAATTTAAACAAAATGCCCTGAAAATTTTTAGCCAAAAAAGTAGCATCTTCTCCTCCCCCAAGTGATTTGACTCAAGTCTGTAAACTGAAACAAGAGCATTAGTTACATTAAAAACCCTATTAAATTATGCCTTGTTGTTTAAGATGGATGCGCAGAGCATCTGCCACAACAGAAGCCAGCTGATTATTCCCCAAGAAAACCACAGGACCTTTGTCTTCCTCTACAACTGGATCTGTGCCGCAGGAGTGCGTCAGCCTCACAACCCTGCCTGCAGCTGTCATCTGTCATTACTCTAAGCTATGAAAATTTCCAGCGTTCGACCACATGAAACACTGAGCAAAGACAACATGACACAAAGAGCAGCGTCAGTTCTCCCTTCCTCACTAGCCGATGCAGAAGATCTGAGCTCCTGTCAAGAGCCCAGCGGAGAAAAATACATCCTCATTTGACAAACTACGGAGGTGGATACTTCAGTCCTCTTCGTGAAACTCAGCCTTCTACCTTGCTGCTTCCGAGGTTTCCAGAGTGTGATGCAACCAAAAGGAATCTGAAAAGAGTATTCATATAATCAGAGGTACCATGTTCAGAAAAACTTGGTTCGTGGCTATTCATACATCACTTTGGGAAAGCATCTGCATTCTTACAGGATAGACTGCTTTAGCATCAAAATGTTTGGGTTTTAGTACGTTTCAGCACACCAAGAGACACTGCGAGATACACCATCAAAATATATATCCATTGTGAAGTTTCAGACGAAAACACATCCCCCATTTAATTTTGTATTCTATAAAGAGACTGTAGCTTCCATATGCATCCTATTTGTCTCATCTCAAACAGGCAGTTGGATGTTGATTTTTTTAAAATTTCCTTGTAGTCATGAAAGAGTAGTAGCCATAAATACAACTAGGAACAGGCAATATCATCTCTTTTTATTAAGCAGTGACACTGACTCTGAAACAAAATCCGTGTCTCTTTACATAATATGATCCTAATCTACCTTTAACATGGTGAAGAAAACTCTGATAGAGCTAATAGTCTACTATCGTAATACGATGTTTGTCTCCCATATTTTTAGCAGGCTGATTGTTTTCTGAAAATCATTTCTCTGGGTTTGCTTTTACTGTTCATCTATATTTTTACTCACAAAAGTATGATAGGAAAAAACTCTCAGAGACATCTCCATTTTATCCCAGTATTTGGAGCTAGTCTCATTAGGATTAAAAAGCAGAAAAATAGGATGTCCATTTTGACATACAGAACGGCTAAAATGAGCTAATCACTTGTTCAGTAGCCCAATTTACAAAAAAAGTCTCTCTCAGCTAAAGTATCCCGACTTTCTCCCTTGGTTCTCATTTCTTTATACTGATTTGCAACAGGTAACAGGAGGATACGCTTTCAGACTGCTTTGGAGAAATACTTCAGACATCCTCAGGCCAGGCCAGGTGGGACCACTGGGATTATCTGTTCTGACCTTCAGCATCCCTGAATTAATTCCTCTTAGGAGTAAAGAGTTTCTTTGGACTTTTTTCCCACTGAGCTCCATTCCTGAACTGATAGTAACAGAGAATCTGTCCGCCTTTGTAAGTTGTTCCCATAGCTAATTAACTGCCTTCACTTAGAATATTTGCTTGCTTCTCTTCAGCATTCGCCTCATTTCCAGCTTTACTTTTTATATCTTTGGCTAGACTGAAACTTTTCTGTTATAAGATTTCCGTTTCCCACACAACTAATATGGGGGCGGGGAACAGATCTCCCAGCTAACCTGAACAGTGATCTCCGGTAAAAAGATAAATCCTATCGCTCATTTAACAGCAGAATAAGGATGTTACTATCATAAATCATGTCCAGACTAGACCAGAAGTTTACCAAAATCAGATCACATCCTCTATCTAAAATTCCTTGGAAGCTTCTCATCACTTCCAACAAGTTACAATTTCCTTCTTTTTTTCCCTCTCTATGCTTCCTGAACCTGTTTTCAGAAGATCTTCTGTACTGGAAAGGC